TGGGCCGTTTTCCATCTGGTCCTGCTTGCCCTGGGCCCTGTTCCTCCTGGCCCTGCTCCCCCCCTGTGCCCCAATCCCTCTGAGCCCTGATTTCCCTTGTCCCTGCTCCCCCTGGCCCAACTCCCTGTGGGCTCTGCTCTCCCTAGCCCTGCTTACCTGGACCATGTTCCCCCTGGTCCTCCACTCCCTGGGCCCTGCTCCACCTAGTCCTGCTGCCCTCGTGCCCTGATCCCTCTGGCCCTGCTCCCCTGGGCCCTAGTCCCCCCAGTCTTGCTCCCCTTCTCCCTGCTCCTCCTGGGCCCTGGTCCCCAAGGGCCCCGCTCGGCCTGGGACCTGCTGCCCCTGTACCCTACTTCACCTGGTCCTGCTTCCCTGGGTCCTGCTTCCTCTGGCCCTCCTCTCCTGGCCTTGCTCCCCGGATCCTGCTCCCTCTCATCCTGCTCCACCGGGTCTGCTCCCTGAGACCTGCTCCTCCTGTTTCTGCTCCCCCTGGGCCCAATTCCCCCTGGGTCCTGTCCCCCTCCCAGGTCCCGCTTCCCTGTGCCTCATTCCCCCTGGCCCTGTTCCTCCTGGCTTTGTTCCCCTGGCCCTGCTTTCCTGGGCCCTGCTGTCCTTGGGCCCTGCTCCACCTGGTCCTGTTCCCCACCCCCATGCCCTACTCCCCTAGCACTGCTCCCCATGGGCCCTGTTCTCCTGGGCCCTGGTTCCCCTGCCCTGCTCCCCTGGGTTCTGCTCCACCTGGGCCCTGCTCCTCCTGGCCCTGCTCGCCATGGGCCCTGCTTCTCCTGGCCCTAATCCCCTGGTCCTTCTACCCCTGGCCTTGCTCCCCTGGGCCCTGTTCTCCTGGTCCCTGCTTCCCCTTGCCCTATTCCCCTGGGCCCTGCTCCCATGGCCCAGCTCCACCTGGTCCTGATAACCATGGCCCTGCTCCCCATGGACCCTACTCTCCTGGGCCCTGCTTCCTCTGGCCCTGCTCCCCCACACCCTGCTCTCCCTGGTCTTGTTCCCCATGGGACCTGCTCCCCACCTCAAAATTAACCATCCACCTACTCCCAGCCAGTGCCCATGACCTGGTCCAACATTGTCCGTGAAGCAGCCTTTCTCATGCCTCCTAACAATGTTGGAAAAAAATATGAAGTTCTCATAATAGTCTTGGTTGCTGAGGCTTTCACTATGCACTGTGAGATTCTGGGTAAGTCACAGATTCTACAACTGACTAAGCAGGCTAGATTCTATTTGGTTAACCAACATAACAATTTCCATCTTTTACTTAAATTCTCTTGAGACACTAATTTGCCTCAGAATAACATTAGCTCAGTCAACAAAAAATTGTGACTTACCCTCCTAGATAGAGTCACAAGAGAATCAACCAAAAGGACTTTCTGGGCCTTGGAAACCAGCACTTAAAAAAACACCAGGGGCATTTTACAGGGGTTGAGTTTTATAAAATAAAACTTCATTCTGTACCTGCAAATAATAAGTTTTTAAAACACTCTTCAGAAATCTTCAAAATACACTATATTCTTAATTTATTAAAATATCAGTCCACTTATGAAATGTAAAAAATAGAAAAATTGAACAAAAAATCCTATAAGTTTTGTTTACCATATTGAAAAGGCTAAAGTAAAATAAATAAGCAAGAATAATAACAACAAAACTGACAATAAACAAGAACTGTGATGCTTTTGTACCTGAAATTTGAAGATTCAATGAGAAATCAGAGATAGAAAAAAAAAAAAGTTAACTTTCTCTTAAATTGATAGTCACTTGTGAAGAATTGGAACAGACTGAAACAAGGTTCTTCACTCTAAAGGTAGAACTGACATTTCTTCTCAATTTTTTTATGCCCCAAATGAAGCAATTAGCTCAATGTATAAAACAATTTTTTATTCTCAGTAAAGGAGCATCTATTGCATGCCAAAATTAAAACCCAATTACAAAACTTTTTGACTAATGAAGCCTACACAGTTTTCACCTAAACAAATTTGCTCAATAAGTTGACTAAATTCTAAGATGCTTATTAAAAAAAAAACATAAATTTGAAATGACAGAATTGTCCAAAAGGAAAATAAGACAGTGTACTTATAAAATTTGTTACTCACTGTAATACATTTTTAAACTATTGCTTTTCTTTTTAAATTTCCTTTAACTAATTATACCCAACATTGGAATGCTTTTATGCACTTTGAAATATTAAACATACATGAGATATACTCTCTAATTCTTCTCATTGTTCATGTTGTAGAATCTCATTGGTCTTGAAATCATATATGTATAAAGTAATGATATCTGCTTCAATCTACTATTCTTTCTATCCCCATATCCTTTCTCCTTTCTTCACTCCCCTCTATCTCATCTAAAGTAACTATATTCTTCCAAGGATGCCTTCCTCCCTTAATGTGAATTAGCCTCCATATATTAGTGAAAACATCTGGCCTTTGTTTTTTTGAGATGGGCTTATTTGATTGAGGAATATGTTATTCATGCCCACCCATATATTGGCAAATATCATAACTTTGTTGCTTTTAAGCAGAGTAAAATTCCATTGAATATATATATATAACACATTATCCAGGACAGCTATGTTGGTTGCACCGTTTAGCTACGGTAAATTGAGCTCCTAAAAACATTGACATGGCTGCATCACTGCAGTATGCTGATTTTAATTTTTTGGCTTTAAAACCAGAAGTAAAATACCTGGAAAAAATGGTGATTTCATTCAAATTTTCTGGAGAATCTCCATATTCCTATCCATAGTGTTTGCACCAATTTGCAGTCCCACCAGCATTGCATGATTGTACGTTTTCCCCCACATCCTTGCCAACATTTATTGTTGCCTGTATTCTTGATGATTGCCCTTTTGACTAGGAGTGAGAAAAAATCTTAGTGTTGTTTTGATTTGCATTCCTTTAATTCCTAAAGATGTTGAACCTTTCTTCATGAACTTATTGATCAATTGTATTTCTTCTGTGAAATCAAACTAATTTCTGAATACATTGTCATTAAAACCATTCTTATATTCCCTGAACAATTCATGAAAAGTTAGGTGGAAAAATTCAGAGCATGAATTAAGAACTTCCTCAATGTTATCTTTATAAAGCTTTTCAAAATGATCACAAGGATGTTTCCTAGAATTTAAAAGAGGGTGAAATGTTTATGAGTTTCCGAATTTATATTAATTTACACACACACACACTATATATATATATATATATATATATATATATATATATATATAGATAGATAGATAGATAGATAGATATAGATATATAGATATATATATAGATATATAGCCAGCCAATTACTTAAGGTAAAGACCTGTCTACAAATCTTGAAATATTTATCATACATGTAGAACTCTCTGCAAGTATCTATATGCATATTTAGATAAAGCAATAGTTGGTAAGTACAAATCTCTCCACATTTATTACAATTCTATGCATTAGCAAAAAGAGTAACTGTTCATTCCAACTTCTTTTGTAAAGTAACAATCAAATTAATCAGTCAGAACTTTTTTTTAAATCTTTTTTCTACAGAAATATTTGTGGATGTTTACTCAATGGTACATTTCAAAGTATTCCAGTAACTCACTGAAGCATATAATAGATGCCAGAGCAAATTTCCCATTCTTTAGAGGAAGGATATGATTCCAAAAATGCTTTGCAGATAATTTAAAAGCCCACAGATTGTCAAAAGTGACTGGCATATGTGCAGTTGTTTCTCCCCAGTTCAGCTGATGCCCTGCATCACCACAATGCCACCAAACATCTGATCTGGTAAAAATCTCTGTATGTAACTAGCTCACTGAAATGAGTCATAAGACACTTTGAATTTGTTGGGTGAATATTCCTTAGGATTCACAGATGACTAGGACTAGGACCTCAGAAAAACCTAAGAACAACAGTATTAAGTTTACTGGGAACATGTGTAGGATCCAGGAACTCTCTGGGTCTGACACTGGAAAAAATTATCCTGATATGTATAAGAACAAATCTCATCCTACCACAAACCACAAATGCACAAGTATCCTTGGATTTCATCTCGGAGTCCTGTTGCTACGGAAGATGAGACAGTGCATGTCAAGTAGAGATGCTGGAAGACATCTCTGAAATATGTGTGAAACAAGAATATCAACAATATGGAAGCCATTATGCAGCAAAGCCTGGTATATTGGAACTCTTAGTGGCAATTCTGCTTGTTTGAGACTTCCCAATACATATGATATCCCACTTACCTATGTTCAGCCCTGCATTGGAGATGGAATAACTCATTGGAGACACATAGTCACCTAGCATCTCAAGATGGGTGTGTCTTGCTAGGAAGTCAATCAATCTGTCTGTAGCAAGACTCTTCTCATTAAAGTCTTATTCCTAACTTTGATATACTTTCCCTCAATTAATAAAAAAAAACTAGCCATTTTCTAGTCATTGTGTTCCAGCTCCTATGTGGACTTGAGAATCTATGAGATGCTCCACCTCTTTCAAAAGTAATTTCTGGCTTGGTATCTTTTTTTTTATATGCACTCATGTACATGCCATTAAAAGCTTTAAAAAATGATTAATCAGGATTTAACCAGTGTTTTCATTTCTTATATTAAAATGTAAATTTCTATTCAAATCATATTTTTAAAGCTGAGAAAACTGATTAACTATTTAATTTCCCAAAGGCATTTTTAAGATACAGCTTCATAATAGCCTGTAAGCTTTTCACAATTATGTACTTCGATACATCTTCTTGCCTCTAAAAATCTTGTTTATTGTGACTGGTTTTACACAAAGTACTGGATAGTGAAAATTGTATAATTACCATTATGTAACTGAAAGTAGTATTATTTTCAAAAAAGTGACTGTCATAAGTAGTCATTCTTCTGATATATTATATGATAACATAACCTGATAACAGTTTAATTTTCATTATAAATATTGTCATGCATCTGCATTTTTGTTCATTAAAAAAAATTACTGAACTTCTCTCTCTCCAACTATGTATAGTTTCCATACCTTCTCTGAATCAAATTTTGCAAAAAACATTTTATTTCCTGCTCTTCTGAAAATTCTGAATTTTGATGAGAAGACATACCTGAAAGAAATTAAAATAATGCATTATCCACTTACTACACTATGGTGAATATACTCTGCAAATATATAAAACTCCATCAAATTGAGGGAAATAGCTAGAGAACAGTAAGTACAACGTAAGGTCATTATTAATCAAGAAACATGTAAAATTTACAACAGTATGCTGACAAAAGTTTGAAAATCATCTTGCAATTTCAAAGTGCCACATATGAAGATAAAACTGAAACAGCTAATGTTACCACAAAGATGTCAAATTACAGCATCTTGTTCAAGTTTTTCAGATTTCACATTTGACTCAAAATTTGCAGGAATGGGCTGGGAATATAGCTCAGTTGGTAGAGTCCTTGCTAATTAGTTCATTAAAGTGAGTTTGATCCCCATCAACACACACACCCACAAATCAATGTTGCAGAAAAGTACTTTATCCATTAAATAATTTATTATGTCTTAGTGGGGAGTGTTACTTAGGATTGAACATAGGAGTGTTTTATCATTAAACTACCTCCACAGACCCTTATATATATACTTTTTTAAAAGATGTTTTGAGACAGGATGTCACAAAGATGCCAAAGGTCATTTTAAACTTACAATCTTACTGTCACAGCTTCCCAAATGATACAGGCATTTATCACCCCACCTGACCTATTTTTGTTTATTTAGTAACTTCCATACATTATCCAAAATGACTATAATAATCTATTTAAGGATGATCTTAAATGGAATAAAAGTAATAGCACATGCAAAAAAAAAAAAAAGGAAAATTAGCTCAAACAAAGATACAACATAACACTAGCAATTGAGAATTAGAAAACTGACATTTGTTAATTATCTAAGCAATGCCAAAAAAAAAAAACTTGAAAGATGTTTATTAAACTAATTTGAAAGAGAAGATTGAATGCAATTCAGAAAAAAAAATGCAACAGAAAAAGTAGAACTATACTAGAAATATTCTTTAGGAAACAATAACTGATGAATTAGAAATGTGAAGAGAAAATATATCAAATATTAGAAAATCAATTAAAATATTTAAAGTAAGAAATTCATAAAGAAAATTTTAAAACTCTTAAAAATATATGATGAGACTAAGAAATAGAGAGGTTTCATTTATAAAGATACTTCTATATGGTTAACATTTGATTTCTTAGCAGAAGAATTCCAGAAAGAAATTAGAGTATATAGTCATGTGTACTTAAGGGAAAAATCAATGTAGAATATTATACCCAGCAAGACTATTTTTGAATCTTAAGAAAAATACAGGCTTTCAAGATATATAAATGCTATATTTTTTCACTTCTAGACCTGGTCTTAAAAAAAATCAATAAATACTAAATTTAGTCATTCCAATATAATAAATCTGTACAGAAACACAAATCATATAGTATTTGAAAGCTTTTGTGAAAAACCAAAATATTTATAAAAATAAATTCCATTTTACTATCATTATGGTAAATAAAACATTTAGTTTTGCTATGGAATTTGAAAGAATAAAGCATAAAAACTATCATAAATCCATATTAACAGGTAAAACATATAAAAGCAGCTTGACATCAGCTTGACAAGACATGTAAAGACACTGATTATTTTAGAGAATCAAAGTTAGTTCAGTTTAAAAATACAGTGTAAACTAAGTACTTTAATTTTTTTGTTGTTATTTTTAGTTATGTATGACAGTAGAATGATCTTGACACAGCATACATACATGAAGTATAACTACCCATTCTTGTGGTTGTATATGATATGAAGTTACATGTAGAGAGTCACCCTGAATGAACACACGTTTAAGTCTTGATGAACAAGGCTTTGACCAACCTCTATTATCTAGTGGCTTCAGCATTGCCCAGCTCAGATATCAAGAGATGGCTTCAGAAGTAGGTATATACACTTAAGTTAAGTTACACTCACTTATTCCTTTATAATTCTACCCCTTTGCCCCTTTTTGGGATAGAATGGTGAAGGTGATCCTTCTCTCACTCTCTTGACAGGGTCACAGTGAAGATAAGTGCTAGCAAAGTGTTCTCCCACTCTCTTGACAGGGTCACAATGAGGATGAATTCTGGCAAAGCCACACTGGTTGGTGGGTAACTGAAACCATGAGACCCTTTTTTATGTAATTGGGACTTTTCATTTTCATGCTCCTGTTCCTGACAGGAGGCATGAGTATGTTAAATGCTAAACCAAATTAAACTTCAGATAGCTAGAACATAACAGGTAGTTCATACCTAGAAGGCTGTTCTACTACCCCACAGCATACTGAGGACAAAACTGATAATGGACAACAATCATTCTCCAAAAGGTCACGAGAATTTCAGGCACCACATTGATTATATCAACTAAGAACCCAGGCCCATATTTCTGGCCTCTTAGAAAGCCTAATCATTAGGCTTATTACACAAAGCCCACCATATGTAGTTTCATCCTCAATTAAGGAAAGTTGTGTTATACACTTAGGAAAGTTAAGATATATAAAGATACATTCTTCTCTTTTCTATAAACTTTCTTTTACTTCACATAGGGATTTATGATGAGAATAGTTAATATTGGTATTAAGTGGGCTGATGTATAGAACTTACTTTTTACTCAGAGAGATTACAAAGATATAAGAACTAGTGCACCTTGGCTAAGAAACAAACTCTGAGAAAGCAGCTCAACCAGTTTCATGAGAATAAATGTAGGAATTAATTAAAGTAGCACTATAAGAAATATTTTTAGAAAAATGTTAGAAATATTATTCTATTTAGACTCTTGGGCTTAGAATTCTTAAGTTTTTAGTTGTATGGGTTTCATTAATGCTTTAAGAATGGTTTATAAACTTTAGGATATTTTAAGTATAATACAAGTGGATTCTTTATATGGAAATTTTAGATTAAAAATAAAGTACAGGTATACTTTAAACTTAAAGTTTAATTAAAGGCTAGGAGACTTAGAGTCTGGTTATGTAGTTTGGCATTATTTAATAAGAAAATAATATATCTTGGGGAAAATACTACATCCTGGAAAAATCTGAAAAATGTAAATTAGTGACACATTTTATTGATGATTCTTTACCCTTAACAATTGATAACTAAAGGATACACCCTGGATAAATGTAAATTGATGTTACACTTTTCTATGCCCCTAATGATGGTTAAGGAAATGTCACATCTTGGCAAAGTTTTGAAATTGTATAATCAGTGATGTATTCTGAATCCATAATGATGATAAAAATTGCAATAAAAGATGACCCAGAGAAAGCTGCATTAGAGCTCTCTCCCTGGAGATTGCTTTAATGGAACGACTCCTATCTCATCTTTTTCGTGGATGCCACTCATCCTTCAGGACTCCCTGGACCCTGCTAGGGCAGGACCCCAGCAATAGAATGTTCCATGGAAATTTCCTTTGTGTATCCCAGTCTCTTGCTCTGCTTTTGATACCCACTCAATACATGAGATGAGTGTGGCCTTCCTAGATGTCAATCAACCTGCTTACAGAAAGACATTACAAAGCTAGACTCAACCCCCTGAAACCTGACCTCTTGCCTCATTTGAATGGCTTCTCTCCAATGAAAGTGTTTAGCATGGCTCCTCACTCCTTTTTTCCCATAGAACCCTAAAGTCAGAGGAGCCATCACAGGACCCAAAGACTAAGGTATTTTTCTCAATCTCTCTTTGATTATTTCATGCCAGTCCAGTTTTCCTGGGGTGACCTTAAGTGTTTAGTCATGGGATGTGATAATTACACTGGTTGTGATTCATCTATGGACATCAGAAAGTTACTTTGAATTAATTTTCCATTTTTTAAATACTTTTAGTATAATCCCAATATAATGACAAAGTAGATATAGAAGATAAAAACAGAAAAAGAGAGGAATATAAATATCACCATAAAAGTCTTTGAATCCCAAATTAAAACACGTTATTAAATAGTAGACAAAAGTATAATGATCAACAAAAACTTCCAAAGTTACAATAGTAGTTTTTTTCTCATCGGGAATTTAAATACAAATGAACTATTATGAAACACTAATTAGAACACAAACATGATGAGAAAGATTAAATGTAAAAATATGTTAATTATTTCAGATCTAAATCTACAGAAGATTCTCTTTAGAACTAATGTCACAAATAGACTAAAACACTAATAGATGATTGGAATATTATATTCAAAATCACAAAGATGGTAATAATTATATAAAAATAATCAGAGAAAATAGAATTTTATATAAAGATAAATGTTGCCATTCTCTGGAATACAATAGTAGTAAATATATGGTTAACTCAAATCGTATTTTTCAAATACAAAAAGCAAACATTGAAATAACTCAACATCATTGAAAGCAAAAAAGTAATAGCAGGAGACATTCATTCCCAATTAATGCAAAGGAACAAAATAGCATTGGAATAGTACTCCGGAATTAGAACACTTAAACAACTATTATCAACCAATTAGGCTAAAAGAAGCAATCTTCTCAATAGTATAAGTAATATTATCTTAAGGAGACCAAGTTAAAAGCACAAAACAGATGATAATAGTTATTAAAAATTTTAAAATTGCTTTCTAACATAATGTAATTAGTTGGAAATCAAAAGTGGATGTGATAACCAAAAATTCATAAATATGAGGTCAAAGCCAATTATAGTAATTTAACAAGGCCCTAAGCAAATTAGAAAGAGGCAATCTCAAAATATACAAGTGTTGTAGACCAGGGACAGTAGTAAACACCTGTAATCTCAGCTCTGTGACAGTTTGAGAGAGGAAGATTGGGAGTTCAATGGCAGTCTACGCAAAACTGAGGTGCTAAACAACTCAATTAGATAATGTCTCTAAGGAAAATACAAAATAGGGTTTTATCATGTTGTTTTGAGGGCAAGTGACCCTGAGGTCAATCTCCAGTACCCCAAAAATAAGGGCTGTGGGTGTGGCTCAGAGGTTAAGCAAATGATACAAAACACACACACACACACACACACACACACAAATACCCAAAGCAGTCTAAGAATTCTACATAATGCCAACCAAATGCTCAATACTATTTTTGCATAAATAATGAAATAAGTTATTTTAAAAATTCTGTGTAGTATCCACAGTACATAAATAAGTAACATATTAAAAAAATTAAAAAGTGTTTCCTCATATAAAAATAATAGATACTTGTATGTTAACACAAATTTAGATGACGAAGCTATACATAACAAAATTGAGAGTACATAAATCAGTCCTCACATTGATGGTCAATTCAAAATATTTACAGATCTATGCTTATTACAAAAATATTCAATAAAGATAAATGTGGAAAGCCAATCAAATGTTCTTTCACATGAGTATATGAAGGCAATTTTGAATAGGATATAAAGTTTTGAAACTTGGCCGAGTGTGGTGGCACACACCTGTAATCCAGCAGCTTGGGTAGCTAAGACAGGAAGACCATGAGTTCAAAACCAGCCTCAACAATGGTGAGGCATTAAGCAACTCAGTGGGACCCTGTCTTTAAATAAAATACAAAACAGGGCTGGAGATGTGGTTCAGTTAGAATGTCCCTGAGTTCAATCCTTGGTGCAAAAAAATTTTTTTTTCAAACTTTATAAAGATAAGAAATTATATAGGACCTACAATTATCAGTCTTTAGGATAGTATGCTAAGTGAAATGAGTCATTCACAAAAAGACAAATACCATGTGATTCTACTTATGAGATATCTAATAGAGAAAAACATACAGGCCAAAAAGAATAAAATTACAAATGAAAAGGTGAGAGCAAAATGAGCACTTGTGTGGGGGGAGAGATAAATTTTGCTTTTATGTGATTCAAATTTTCTAGGAATATGGTATAAAACAATGTAAATCAACACTACCTAACAGTACATTTAAAATATATAAGACAGTAAGTTATTCTATTTATTTGTTTTTAAGTGTTACCATATATAAAACCCACTGCCTTACATGTGTAACACAAGCCCTGAGCCATTAAGCCATAGCCCCAGCCCTAGAAATCTTTCTTTAAACCACATTTATGAGTTATACTTTTATACTCACTAGGAACAGGCATTTTGAATCACTGCTATTCATTGCATGGCAAAAAAATAATTCACAGAAAATCTAGTTTAAGCATTCATAAAAAGCTCTGATAATAAAATCTGAATGAATAAATACTTGAATTATATTACAGAATTTATTCTTTGACTAAAATATTACATTAGTTTAAACTAGAGATATTCAGAAATATGCACAGATTTTTTAGGGAGCCCCCATGATCAACAGATGTCTGAGATTATGTAAATCCTCAGAGGTGTTAGGGAGTATTTTGTTGATTTGAATATAGGGAGATCATTGGAGAACAACAAGTAGCTTAAGAATTGGGAAGCATGTCAAACATAGGGCAGGATATGCTCTTTAATGAATGCAAAAGAAAGAAACCTAAGTTTAGAAACACAATTTCTGTTGGATTTTAGCTTCTTAATATTTTAAAATGAGACTTCCTTGTTGACATTTGGATGTCTTATCTGTATTCTTTGCTTCATGGACTTCTAATGGCATGGATATATGGCTACTGTCACTTTTCTCTTCAAATTCCAAGGTTATTGCTATGGGGAAAATAAATGACTAAAGATGACTTAAAGACAGGATGACTTAAAGACAGGATGTGCTTGCTGGAAAATGGAGTGCGGTTCATTTTGTTATGTTTTTGGTAACTACTTATGTTTCTTAATGCTTACCTCATTAGGAAACAACAAAGAGGAGGTATCATAGAGGATTCTTGACAATTATTTTTCCAATTTTTATTTTTTATCTATGTATGTATGTATGTATGTATCTATCTATCTATCTATTGAGAGAACCACTAAAATACTTTGGAACCATTTTCAATCTCCAGATTGTCAACACTACTTTGAAAAGATAGGTTAAACAAATCAAGAAGTTAAATATTGGCCATGAATTAATAATTCTGAAGGACATTTATGCTCACCCACAAAGACCAGGTTTCTATAGATCTCTAGCATCACATCTCCATATAAAGTCTGCTGAACCGGGTCCAGACATTTCCATTCCTCTTCAGAGAAATCAATGGCCACATCCCTGCATGTCAATGGTTCCTGAAATAAAAATTAAATCAATAAATATCATGTCAACTATAAGATCATTGACAAAGTTTTTCATTTGACAGAAGTTGTGATGAGAGTTAGAAGAGCAGACTCTCAGTGAAGAAGTGGCCTCTGTCATTCAAAAAGCTTCTTTTTTGTGGTGCTGGAGATTGAAGCCAGGGCCTTGTACATGCAAGGTAAGCACATTACAAGCTGAGCCATATTCCCAGCCCTAATAATTAGTTATAAGCAATGAAATTGGTGAATAAATTTGGTATAATAAAACCCAGAGAGCAACACATGTGAAACAAAACACTGAAGCAAAAAGTAATAAAAAATTTCAACATACTCCTAATGGATAAGTAACAGTTGCAATAAGTTACTGAATATTCAGAAGAAGCACCATGAAACAATTCAATGATATTTGAGATATACATTCCAAAATTATAAGTAATAACAAGACTCATACGACAGTGGTCATTTCTGTGTGTAGAAGACATGAGATCAGTGAAACACAAATTTCCAATGGCCCACATATTTATTTGAATGGTAATCTTTAAAGTTGTCTATATTCTCATTATTTATTTAATCATACCATATAACAAGTATTTTATTTAAAAAAATATTTTAACTTCTTCAGACCACAACACCACAACTCACTTTCCAAACAATAAAATAAATATTTTAACTAGCAGACTCTTACAAAACACTTAGGTACTTGGGCAAACTTGAATTATATGGCACAGAGTTATAAAAAAGAAAAAAAATGAAAAAAGCAAATTAAGTGAATAGATTGTTAACCCCACAGTTCCTGACACATCAGATTAAACATTCCCAGATTTGTAGAACTACTCTTACTCTGAAACTGTATCTGCACATGGCTATTTTTGAAGATGCAAATGAAAAAATACTAAGCCAGAAAAGAAAAATAAATTCTAAAACGTACTTACACCATAAAGAACTCCCTGACAGTGGGAAAGTACTCCCTTTTTCAAGGTCTCAATTTTCACTAGTGAATAAACACATACCTAGAGTTAATTTAAGGTTCTGATCTTTGAGGTCTTCTTTCTGGAACAACCATTTATCTATCTATCTATTTATTTGTTTGTTTGTTTATTTATTTTAAATTAGGAATTTAACCAGGGTAACTCTACTACTGAGTTATATCAGAATATTTGTTTGTTTTAAATTTTAAGACAGAGACTTATCAAGTTGCTTAGGACCTTTCTAAATCACTGAGACTAGCCTCAAATTTGCCATCCTCCTGTCTCATTTTCCCACATCACTGGGATTACAAGTGTATGTCACCACACTTGACTATGCAACTACTTTTGATATTAAATGTGCATATTTGCAAAACAATCAATGTTCCAAAAATAGTTGACCTATAATTCAATTCTGATGCCCTTTAATACAGATAACACAACTTTGGGGTTCACTCCTATAAAATTCACTTTCATAAAGTGCCAGTTGCAAGCCCCAGAATAACATCTATATTTATGATCAGTTTCCTATAAATTGGGGGGGTCTCTATAACTACACACTGAAGTTACATCATCTGATAGAACTACTTCTGAAACAAAAAAAAGCACATTTTATTTATGTATACCAGATTTTTATGAAATACATAAATCAGGAAGGTGACAATAGAAAACTTGCATAGAACATAAAAACATCAGAAGGTGAGGCACTACATAGGCCATTTTAGAAAATAGCTGGCTGAAGATTTTATCTCTAATTTTTGTGTCCCACTATAGTTGTAAAAAGCCCCCTTTCTCATTATGAGTTAGAAAATCTTCTCTATGTTAAATATGGTGATTCAGATACTCACTCTGCATATTCCCATTTATTCCATCAAAAATATTCAGTTGAATGCTTTTACATTCAGTGTTCAGAACAAAATATTTGTGACAAAATGGAGCTTAAGTCTTGCCCCTATGAACCATTGAGCCATCTTATTTGAGACAAAACTAACACACACTTTTTTTGGTTAAAACTCCTAAGTATTGGTTGCCTTCATGGTAAAAGATTCTTTCATTTGAAATTTTGATTTATTTTTGTGATACTGGGGCATTCTACAACTGAGATGCATCCCTAATACTTGTAATTTATTTTTTTCTTTTGATACAGGTTCTCGCTATGTTGCTCCAGTAAGCTAGAGCTACTGAACTTTCTGCCTCAACCTCCATGTAGTTGTGATTACAGACATGTCCTAATATGCCCAGAAAGATATGAATGTTCTACATTTCTTTGATCCATTCCCCTTTCACCTTCTTTATTTGTTTTTCTTTCTAAAAACAAGCCCTTGACAGTCTAACATTTGAGATGCATCCATATCTTATATTTGATTATTTCCCAGTACTGCAATATATATTTAGGGAAAAAAGCCACTTATTACCCATATCTGAATTTTTCTAATCTGACAGTCTAGAAATAGCTCCACAATGATGAAAATTATAGCCACCAATAGAATTAAGAACTTAACAATTAATGATGTTCTTTTACAGAATGAATAATTGATCTTAGTTTGAATGTAATTTTATTCTTAAATCTGCTTGTATCTTTTCTCTTTGGAAACATTCTTTATCTTTCAAATATTAGTATAAATTACATTTCATAGATAATGAGAATATTAGACTAAAATGAGGCATTCTTCTTCCACCATCTTTTTTGCTTAAATATTCAGTGACCACCGCAATGTCTTCCAATCTGTATGTAGCGAGTTTTCCCTTGGATACTTCTAAACACACTAGGATTTTTTTCCCTGATTATTTGATATAGATTACTCTCCTTTTAAATTGTGACACTTGATCATCTATCTTTCCTAGATGGGTAAGAGGAAAGAAGATATAGATCATCTTTGCCTTTCTCTTCAGTTGCAGAATCAATGTGGCTGACAAGCAATGTGTTTCTGGGCATCTGAACCTAATATTTGAGAAAAATGATATTAATGTTCCAATATATGATCTATTTAGATGAAACATATACAGGATATTTCTGTAGTTCTAGAATAGCCAGCTAGTCCAACTAGGTGCTCCATTCCCCAAACTCAAGCTGTTCTTTAGGAATTGATGATTATACATAGGATGGTATTTTCTAGGTAATTCAGAAACCATGGCAGCTGTGAGCATGTTGGGTCAGTAATGACCAGTCAAAGACATGGCAGATACTTAAGAGAGATCACAGTCTAAAGTTTCTTAATGGTCCCTAAACTTGCTGTCTATGCTTAAAACAGACAAATAAAGAAGAGATTCAAAGACATTTTTTATTATTATTACCAAGGATTGAACTCAGGAGTGCTCAACCCCTGAGTAATATCCCCCCATTTTATTTTTTTATTCTCAAACTTGTGATCCTACTGCACCAGCCTACTAAAATGCTGAGATTATGGACATACATCTTTACAAGTAGCATTAGGTACAAGTACTTTTTACAGAGCTTCACATTATAATTCTCATTTCCTCTCATGGGAAAGAATACACACACACACACACACACACACATGCACACACAGGCCCAAATACAAATTTTTAAATTCCATCAAAACTCAGATTAAAAAAAAATAAATAAATTAAAATGCTGTTATTTGAAATGTACCACAGGGAAACATCTTTCATATAATGAATTAGCTGAGAAAATATGGCATTTAGGAAAATCATGCTTACCATACATTTGGAAAAATGCACTAAAAATATGGAAAATGCCTGAGAAGGATAGAGAAACTAAAAACTCCATGGGCCACAGCTACTTCCAAACATGAATTATTTACATCAATCAGAATTCTCATGTCATGACACTATCTTTAACATTCACTCTAAAAGGGTTTGGAAAAAAAGGTACAGAGTTAGTTTTAGGCCAGGCTGGGGTCACCAATCTGGCACAGGACAAAAAAGTAGTATCCAGACTATCAATCCCATTATGTGGACTAGAGGTTGCAGAATATTGAGCTCTCTCAAATTTGGACTACAGTAAGAGATTAGAAAGCTGACATCAGCAGAGCCCAGGTCTCCACTCTCAGTTCTGACTACTATCATCAAGCCCCTGTCTTCTGTTTCACAGTGCCCAGTTCTACAGACTTATCATTTCTACAAATTCTCTAGCTCCTAAATGTCAGAGTGAAAGGGCCTGTGACAGAGCCATCTGACATCACAAAACCTGAAAATAAACCCAAAGATTTTCCAGAGAGAAAGATAAATGTCTCCCAGATTTTGGAACCTATCCTCTGTTCTTTGTTTATCCTAATCACTTCTGATTGCAAATACACACACACACACACACACACACACACACACACACACACACATATATATATATATATATATATATATATATATATAATATATATTATAAATATATATTATATATATATATAATATATATTATAAATATATATTATATATATATATATATATATATATATATATATATATATATATATATATATATAATTTTTTTAACCTGAATAGGGGGAAAAAACCCACCAACATAATTTGAGCTCAACCTGCAGGACCCAAGATTTGACAGGATCTTCATTATATTCCTTTTCAGACACAGCTTTCTATGTGCAAGAAGACCTAGATATAAAAGAGGAAATAAGTATTTAATGTTGAATATAATATTATGCCAATTATCATTGACAATAATATCAATGACAGATTAACAATTGCAAATGACATAGTGAGAATTACTAAACTTTTTTGGTTCCATAGTCTCCATACTTTGGTTTCATGATGTTTGTTTTTTTTTATTTGATTGGTTCTAGAGATACATTCCAGTAATGCATCACTGAGATATATCCCCAGTTGTTTTCGAAATTTATATCTTCTCAGGTTCTTACTAACTCACTGAGGTAGGCCCAAAGCTGGTGATCTACTTGCTTTAGTCTCCTGTGTCACCAGAATTACAGGTATGCAACAACACACATAGTTCATTTTTAGGAATTTTTTAAAGTGCAGGTAGATTTTGGAAAAAGTAAAAAATCTTCTACAGCACCAAAGTTCAATAGACATAAAATGAAAAATATGTAACTAAACTTTTAGAAGTCATAAATAAAATGAATGAAATAAATCATAATAATTTATAAATAAATTACTATAATGGTTATAATTTGTTATCACAAATAATTTTTAACTGATAATAATTTAAATGTTATTAAAATGTTACTATATAATAAAATTATGATTGTATTTTGTAAGAATATTATATTTTTAATCAAATGTATCCAAAATGTTATTATTCTAATATAGGAACATCAAATATTGTTAGTTAGCTACATTTATTTTTTATTAAACTTTCAAATCTCCGAATACTTCTCAATACATATTGGCCACATTCCAAAAATTCATCACTCACATGTGGCAAATTGTTGCCACATTGCAACTATATATCTGAGGATTCTGATTCCCTGGACTGCATGATATTGAATGACTGAAACCCTCCTTTTCAACCAGAGGTTGAGAAAACATGTCTTTCTTACCAATATTCCTCCTTTGAAACAAATGAGAAAGAAGTGATTTTTATTATACACAAGAGAGTGCTATGATACTAGAGTGCCCAAAGGCAGACCATACTTCCCAACTGCTACCTGGCAAGATCAGTTGATCTTTCAGATATTAAACAATGAACAAAGGATAATGCAAACCCAGAGGAAATGGTCCTCATATAATCAAATCTGTCTATACCTTGACACCATAATTTTTTTGTGAAGGAAAATATTTCTTTCTTTCTATCTATCTATTTATCTATCTATCTATCTATCTATCTTGTTTGCCTCGGGGCCTTCACCCTAGTGATCTGGCTATGGTTGTCTGGTTCATTCTTTGTAGTAGAGTATGCTGTGAGTTAATGACTAATAACATTTATATGTCTACATGCATTTCTGCATAGCTCAAAATAATTTAATAGTATTTTCAACATTAAATCAACAAAATAAAATCACTTTTACTTGCATACCTTCTTCTATTCAGTTAACTTGAAATCACCATGTATTAAATTTTGGCATCCTGTATGCATTGGATGTATTTGTTGATTAGCTATCAAGTATTACAAACTGCCCCCAAACTGAATCATTAATTCTTAAAATGATCAGTTTAAGAGTAAGCCCTATTTAGACTGGGTTTAGCTGCATTATTCTAATTTCAGCAGAGATCCTTCAAGCATATGCTCTGCTATTTGACATGGTAACATTGTTTCTGGAAGAGAGATGGCTGTCCAATATGGTCTTTTAATTCTCATCCACGCCATCTCTTATCCTTCAAAAGCCTAATTTGAGCTTCTTCAACTTGATATGGTAGGGTGTACAAAGACAAAAACAGAAAGGATTCAAAACATTTCAGGCCAAGGCATAAAACCCATACATTTTCATAATAACTAGTTTCTACTGGCTGTAGTATATAAACCACTTTTATTTATATCATGCCAAACACATTCTGCCTGTCATTAAGAACAGCTATAAAAGAACATTGCCAATGGCCTGGATACAGAAAAATAAATAAATAGATAGATAGATAAATGATTAAAAATAATTTCACAATTTATACCTTTTTTTTTCTTTCAGATGACATTTGTCTGAGTACTACAATTCATAAAATTTTACCAAACCACAGAGGCAAATCAGGTTTAAACTCAGAATCTCTACTGCCTGCCTCAAATTATCGAAAAATTTGATAGGCCACAACAATCATGCAATTTTTCTAGGAATTTAAGAAACTGAAGAATGACATCTCTGCAAAAGAAACACAATTGTTTTTAGCTATATATCCCTTCACTACTTTTTACTATTAAAATATTTTTAAGAAAACACTCAAGTGTTTTGTTTTTGTTTTTGTTTTGTTTTATTGCTTGTTTGTTTAAATAGGGAATTATGAGTAAATAGACTCAGGATATATTTAAAAAATGAAGGCTAAATGATTTTTTAAAAATTTCTCATCATGGCGTAATAGTAAAAATATGCATAACACACAGTATATCTGCATATTCTTTCATTTATTCATTAATTTATTTTTGGTATTTGTAGTCTACTTATGATTTTTAATCTAGACTAAACTTAGACCTTTTTATGAAACAGTTTCTTAATATGAAATGAGAATAAGATAGGTATAATGAGAAGACATTTTCTCCATCAGCAGTTTGTCTAAACACCTGAGTAAATAAGAAAATAATCCTTTTATTTTCTTCTCAACATGGCAAATCTGTTTTCCATAAACTCCCAAACAGAAAGGCTGAAGTGGACAGATCCACATAGCACAAACAGAAACCACACAGAGTTAATGCATTTTCACCTGTGAACCAATAGTTCCAAGTTTTGGCTAAAATGGACAGTCACCTGAAGGGCTCTTCAATTTCCAAATTTAAAATTGCATTAAAATGATGAAATCTATATCCCTGGAAAGAAACCCAGGCATCAATGTTTTTTTAAAGATTTGAAAGTAGCTAGGGTTGTGGCTCAGTGGTAACATGCTTCCCTAGCATACACGAGGCACTGTGTTCATTCCTCAGCACCATATAAATGTAAAATAAAGGTATTGTGTTCACCTAAAACTAAAAAATAAATATTAAAAAAATATTTGAAAATAAATTATCATGTGTTGCAAAACCAAAAACCACTGCTTTACATAAACATCTTATGATAAATGAGTTGCAAAGACACATAAGATATGTGCTCTGACTTTGGCCCCTCAGGCTAACCAAATTTGTCATTTAGGATTTTTTTTTAACAACTATGAAAAGTACCTGTGATAACTACCTAACAAAAAGAAAAATCTTATTTTGAATTAAAGTTCTGGAGATTCTTGTTGACAAGTGATTAGTATTACAGCTTTATGCTTGAGGTGTATGAGCACATTATGGCAGGAGCACATGGCAACAGAAAAGTAAAATAAGCTCCAGGTGTCAAAAATTCATTTCAAGTACATATTGTACAATGAAATAAACAATTCTCACTATTACAAGCTTACCTTGTAAAGCTTTCACTAAATACAACACCTTGAGGACCAAGCATTTAATACATGGACCATTACAGGATATTTATCCAAGCCAGAGCACGTGCATTGTATCATTGATATGCTTTGGATAAAATAATCTTTGATAGTCATTTACGGCCATTCAACTCAGTTAAAAAATTTGAGAATACACCAGGCACTGGGCAGAGCTCTAAGTTCCTTGTTCATGAACAACAGACTTGTAAAAAGAATATAATTGGAGAAAGTTAAGCAATGTGTTGTGGTGCATGCCATTAATCCTGGCAATGAAGGAGTCTGACACAGCTTGATTGCAAGTTCAATGACAGGCCTGGTAATATAGTAAAATTATATATATATATGGTGTAGGTTCACCCTACACTAAACCCACTTTGTAGCCAAAGATTGGGACTCGCAGGTTAAACAGTTTGCACACAGGAGCAATTTAAAATTTCAGGGTTCACTTAGTATAGTACTATAGATACGGACGAAAATAGAGCTACAAATCAAACATGGTTGGTGCTAGAAGCTTGAATTTTATATATATATATATATATATATATATATATATATATATATATATATATAAATTTTCATGGTAAATTGATGCTTGTTTCCATCCCCAGCACTGAGAAAAAGAAATAAATGAATAAAAATTAATGTTTACCAAGTTGTGGCTGAAATGAAAAAAAAAAAAAAACTTATGTTCAAGTGTTAGAACATAGATGAATGCCTAAGAATATTAAAATCCAAAGTGAACTAATTTGAGATTTCAACCAAATCACTAATTGTTGCTAGTATTCTGATATACATATTTCACAAACATAATTTTAAAAATTTACATTGAAGTACAATGCACATATAAAAACACACAAAGCACATATGTAAAGGTTCAGAAATTATCCAAAAGTGAACATAGTTTGAATCAGCCTTGCTCAGGACAGACTAAATCATTTTCTCTATCTATGATCCCCAAAAGCATAGAGGTTCTTAACAGCTAGCATGGAAAAGCTTCAATATATAAATATAAAATGTATATAAATAAAGTAAACATTAAACCAGTTACCCAGATTCAATATCTGCTTATTACATGCCATTTTAATTTTTTCTACACTTCTAACCATACTGCAATGTAGGCCAACCACCCCCCCTCCTGTATATTTCTTTTCTGGTGAGGTCATATGTACATGTGTTGAATGTCACAGATATTAATTTACAGTTTTGACAAACAGAATGATAAAAACTTTCACTGCTTTTAAGCACTGAATATTTATATCATTCCAAGAAAACTATTTTCTTTTACATGAAAATTTTGTTCCCAGAGGGATGGATATTTAGCCATATTTTTATTTTGCCTGACTTTATGCAATATAATTTTAAATACTGTACAGTATCTGTGAGAGTCAATAAGCATATGTGTGTCAGTAATGTGTTTCTTTTTATTGATGACTGCTTTGTATTTTAAGGATGTACTACAAATTGTTCATTTCAATATTCAGGAACATTAGAGTTATTTCCTTTTTTGGACCATTAAGACTACTGGGACCATCAATATTCTTAAACAAATAACTATTCCACTCATCTTATTCTTTCCCAGTATTTCAATGACACAGTATT